ACCAGGGCTGCGGCCACCAAACTCCAGGATGGAAGGAGGAGGCAATTCTGCTGGGGGTCAGGGAAGACTTCGCAAAGCAGCGGCAGGTATAGGAACAATGGAGCAGCATGGGTGAGGCTGTGTGCGGGCCCTGGGCAAAGGCCCAGAAGTGGAAACGACCTGCAGGATCCAGAGAGGGCCAGGCACCTGTGTGGCTGCCGGGGGGGCTGGGAGCTGGCAGGACTCCAGACCAAGCCCAAGGACAGTCACAGCTCCTAGCCCATCTCTGCCCTCTGCCCTGCTCCTCCAAGGGTCCCCAGCTCAGTCTCCCAGCCTCCAGGCTGCTTCGCTGTGACCCTGCTGGACAACTTCTCAACAGTCCTGGACACAACCTGACCCCAGTCCCAGCCAGACCCTGTCAGGCATCATCAGCCCCACATGGGGCCTGCGACCCTGTCGGTGTGGACAGCACAGCTGGCCAGATGGGGCCCGGCAGCCCTGCCTCGTGTCCCTAGTGCCCCTGAAGGAGGAGCTCCCTCTGCCAGAGCCCAAGCTCAGAACCTGCAGGGAGGTGTCTTAGGCGCAGGATTGAGGGGTGGGGCCCCAAGGCACAGATGTTGAGGTTCGGCCAGTACCCAGGGGTGGGGCACTGACCCTGTCATGGAGTGCATGGCTGACTCTCCTGGCCCATCACCAGGATGCAATTTTTTCTATGCCTTAAAAATGGAAATGCTAAAAGCAGTCAAAGCACAAAGTCCAGACAGAGGGCAGCTCTCAGGGAGACTGCAAAAGCGACCGACGAGGTCCTCTGACAAGGGATCCCTCCTCCACCTGCTCTGAACATCTACTCTCCTCACCGTCCAGTCGGGCCTGAGCTCCCACTAGAAAGGAAGGAGCATTATTTGGTCAGGTCAGGGGGGCCCACGAGCCTCCCTTCATGCCCAGTTTGGGCAGCCAGATCCCACAGACAGCTCGAGGGGCAGCCCCAGCTGCCCACCCCACTGGCCAGCCCCCAACTCAGGAGCAACTAGCTTTGGTTTGCAAAAGTCCTCTCTCTGGTCCTGCTTTGGACAAGCTGGACTGGGGAGGGTTGCTGAGGTCCTCCTCCTGGAAGTGCATTCTCAGACACTGGTCTCATTGATTTTTCTCTATTTTCTTTTTCTACCGCACTTTTAAATTTTTTTTTATTTTTGCTATTTTCTTTATTTTGCTTACCTTGGGTTTGATTTGCTCTTTTTGTTCTAGTTTCTGAGGGTGAACATTTAGGTAGTTTTTTTGGAGAACTTCCTTCCCTTCTAAAAGAAGTTTTACTTCTTTTTTTCTTCTAAAAGAAGCATTAGTGCAAAATTTCCCTCCAGGGCCCACTTCAGCTGCATCCTTTGACTTTGATGAATTGTGTTTGCATTTTCATTCACTTGGAAATATTTTCTGATTTCCTTTTTGGTTTCTCCTTTGACCTATAAGTTGTCTAGAAATATGTTATTACTCAGTTTCTAAATATTTGATGATCTTGTAGATATATTTCTGTTATTGATTTCTAATTTAGCTCCATTGTAGTCCACGCAAATAATTTGTATGATTTTAATCCTTATAAATTTACTGAGATTTGTTCTGTGGCCCAGAATACAGTCTGCCTTGGAGGACATTATTGGTGAACAAAGGTGTGTTTCTCTTCTGTGAGGTGGAGTGTCCTATAAACATCAAGTCGGCCATGTTGACTGGTAATGTGGTCCACATCTTCTTCCTTACAGACTTTTTGTCTATTTTTATCATTTCAAAATCTCTGTTATTGTGGATTTTCTTTTTCTCCTTTCAGTTCTATCAGATGTTGGTGTTTTGCTTTGTGTATTTTGAAGCTTAATTGTTAGATGCATACATATTCAGAATTGCTAAGTCCTCTTCATAAACTGATCAATTTGTCATTTGGTAATGTCCCTCTTTTTAAATTTTTTCTTTCTTTCCGGTAGAGACAGTGTTTTGCTGTTTTGCCCAAGCGGTCTCAAACTCCTGGCCTCAAGCAATCCTCCCACCTTAGCCTCCCAAAGTGCTGGGATTACAGGTGAGAGCCACTACACCTGGCCAGTAATGTTCCCTCTTTATTTTTGATTATAGTCTTTGCTTTAAACCTACCTTGATATTGATGTAGTCATGCCTGCTTTCTTTTAATTGGTGTTAGCATAGTATATCTTTCTCCATCTTTTTATTTGTATCTTAATTGTGTTTTTATGTCTGGTGAGTTTCTTGCTGACAGCATATACTTGGCTGTTTCTCTTTTTATCCAATCTGACAACCTCTGTTTTTAACTGAGATGTTTTTGTTTGTTTTTGAGGCAGAATCTCACTCACTCTGTCACCCAGGCTGGAGTGCAGTGGCACCATCGCAGCTCACTGCAACCTCCGCCTCCCACGTTCAAGCGATTCTCCTGCCTCAGCCTCCCAAGTAGCTGGGATTACAGGCATCCACCACCATGCCCAGCTAATTTTTGTATTTTTTAGTAGAGAGGGAGTTTCACCATGTTGGCCAGGCTGGTCTGGAACTCCTGACTTCAAGCATCCACCTGCCTCAGCCTTTCAAAATGTTGGGATGACAGGTTAGGATTACAGGTGTGGGCCACCGTGCTCGGTCTAATTGAAGTGTTTAGATGACATAGTGTCATTATTGCTGTGGCTGGGTTTAAATATATGTCATCTTGCTATTTGTTTTCTATTTCCTTTCTCCTCTTCTGCAGTCTCTGTAACATGTGTTTTTATAAATAATTCTGTATCATCACCTTTGTTGATTTATTAGCTAGAGTGCTTTGACTTTTGCTTTTTTTTTTTTTCTTTTTTTAGCAACACTTTAGTGTCTTAGTATGCACCTTTGACTTACTAGTCTGACTTCAAGAAATAGGAGACCACTTCACATGCAGTAGAACAGATCTACAACAGTGAACTTCCATTGTCCCTCTCCTGGTCTACTTGTATTACTATTTTTTTTTTTTTTTTAATTTGACACAGGGTCTTGCTCTATCACCCAGGCTTCAGTGCAGTAGTGTGATCACAGCTCACTGCAACCTCCACCTCCTGGGTTCAAGTGATTCTCCCACCTCAGCCTCCTGGGTGCAACCACAGGTGTGCACCACCACGCCCAGTTAATTTTTTGTATGTTTTTAGAGACGAGGTGTCTCTACGTTGCCCAGCCACGCCTGGTCTAGAACTCCTGGGCTCAAGCGATCCACTTGCCTCAGCCTCCCAAAGTGCTGGGATGACAGGTGTGAGCCGTGGTGCCCAGCCTGTGCTACTATCATCATACAATTTACTTCTACATTTGCTACAAATTCCTTAATACATTGTTATTATTTTTGCTTTAGGAAATCAACTACCTTTCAAAAATAAGAAAAAATAATTACCTTCTATTTCCTATTTCTGGTGTCCTTTATTCCTTTATGTAGATCAGTATTTCTGCCTGAAGAACTTCCTTTAACACAAAGGTCCCCAACCCCCGGGTCACAGACCGGTTAGGAACCACGCCACAAAGCAGGAGGCGAGCGGCTGGCGGGCGGGCAAGGGAAGTTTCATCGTATTAATTCGTCGTGGTCTGAGGCTGAAGCCTGCGACACACTCCGGTTCTGACCTATGCGTTTCTTTCACGCCTCTTATCCACCGGAGTGTGAGCTCCATGGGGTGGGAATATTCTGGAACGTCGGCTGGTTTTACTCTCTGCCCTCTCCCCAGCTCCTGACACAAGAGGGCGCGCATTACCTGTTGGCAAACAGAACAACCAACTGGCCTAGTTTGTTGGGGACGCAAGGATTTCCTGGAACCAGAGCCCGCTTGCCCAGAAGGCATGGGGTATTCTGTACCTTAGGCCCACAAAAATGTTCTAAAGAAAAAAATAAGCTTTAGGGTCGAAGAAAAGGTTTTATTTTTCTTTCTCACATTAGAAAAAAATGAAAACTTTCGGACCCATGAAATTTTATTATTTTGCCAAAAACAGAACCAATAATGTAAGTATTTAAAGTTATATAAAGACAATTATTTAATGTTAACATTAAGATGGTGAGAGGGACCACGGAGCACGGGGCTGCCTTGCAGGCCTGCCTTCCAGCTTTGCTCGGGGGGACCAGAAACGGGGGCTGAGCGCGGGGGAGGCAGCCGGAGGCCATGGGCAGCGAAGCCCGCGCGCCAAAGGGCACCAAAGGGCGCCAGTTCCGGAACTGCTGGGACTGGGCTGCAGGAGCGCGGAGCTGGGGCGGCACGGCTGGTGCCAGCCCACGAACGACGCGGCGCGGGCGAGTGGGCGGAGGCGGCTGCGGGGAAGGCTGGGCTGCCGCGGGAGCCGGTGAGAAGTGCCCGGGCGGAACACGTGGGTCTGAGGGTCGCTAGGGAGTCACTGCGTGGCTGCCTGTGTCCGCGATCCAGATGCCTGGGCTGGCCTCTGGGTCCCAGCGCTGGCCCGGCGAGCCGACGGTCCGGGAGGCGGGGCCGGGGCGGGGCCTGCGGTGAGCTCGGCTCGGCGGGTGCCCAGGAGGCGGGGCCGGGCCGGGGCGGGGCCTGCGGTGAGCTCGGCTCGGCGAGTGTCCGGAAGGCGGGGCCGGGGCGCGGCCGGGGCGGGGCCTGCGGTGAACTCGCGCTGGGCGGGCCGTTCCGGGGGCGGGACTGGGCTGGGCCTGCGGTGAGCATCCAGCGATGCGGCACGGGTGCTGCGGGACACACAGACACGCGTACAGTTAGACCGAGGCAGCACCTACCGGCGAGCGGCCGCGGGTGACTCCCAGGCGCGGCGGTACCTCAGGTGGTGAAGGTCACAGGTGAGGTCACCCTGAGAGTCCCGCTCGCGCCGAGAGCCCTCCCCTCCACCCGGGACCGCAGTGTTTGGGGCGGGGCTCTCCGAGAGGGGGCGGGAAGCTCGCAGCCGCAGGCCTGGCCTCACCCAGGCCTTTGGCATCCTAGGGTTGGCCTGGGCAAATGTGTCCTGAGAGACGGATTTGTCGTTCTCAGGAAGGCGTAAGTTTAATTTAGCTCATCCCTGCTGGGGAGCTTCTGCAGTGGCCGAGGACTCAGACAACCCTAACCAGGGCTCTGGAGGTTTTCCTGGAAGAGGGGACCCCAAATAGGGACACCCCAGAGCAGAGGGGAGGGGAACAGCGAGAAGAGACCCAGCCCTTGGGCCCAGTTCTGCCATGGCCAGCCATCCGGCCCCCAGGGCCCTGCGTGGGATGAGGTTGCAGACCACCTCTCAGAGGACCTCTGTACCAACCATCCCCTGGTAAAATCCTTGTTTAGGCCTGGCATTTAAGGCCCCTCTGCCCACCCCCACTCCTCTAGCACTGCCCCTCATCCTCCCCCATCTCTCCTCCGTCCAGCGCTACAGGCTGTTTTGAGCTTTTGCAGGCGCTGGTCTCTGATTGAAATGTCCCGATCTCTTCTCCCTTCTTGTCCCCTCCCAAGTGTCTCCTCCTCCAGGAAACCTTCCCTGACACCCACTGAGTTGGGTGGCTCCTCTGCCCACCGTCATTCCTGCCCAGGCCCCCCATGGGTCCTTCAGGCCCAGCACTGACCACCTGTCTTTGCCACCTGCTGTGCAGGGCTGCAGCACTCCCAGTAGACCAGGAGCTCCAGAAGGCAGGGCCGGCCCCACGTCCTCTGTGCACCACCCTGAGTTGGATCCTCTGTGCGCCACCCCTGAGTTGGATCCAGGGCTAGCTGCTGTTCTCCTCCCCACTCCCACGCTGCCCTCCTGCCTGCAGCCATGACGCCCCTGCTCACCCTGTTTCTGGTGGTCCTCATGGGCTTACCTCTGGGTAAGATGGACAAAGAACAGAGGGATGGACAGACCCACGTTGAGGGAAGGTGGGCTGAAAGCAGGGAAGGAGACCAGAATTCCCAGCGACCACCCTCTTTCTAGCCCCCTGCCCTGGGGAAGGTGATGGGCTGGGGGCCTGATGGGCTGGAGGAGGGGCCTCTCATGTTCTGCGACCCCCGTTCCCTTCCCGCCCATCTGCCAGCCCCAGTCCACGCCTTGGACTGCCATGTGTGTGCCTACAACGGAGACAACTGCTTCAACCCCATGCGCTGCCCGGCTATGGTTGCCTACTGCATGACTACGCGCACCTGTGAGTCTGGGGGCCCTGCGTGGCCTTGCCTGGGGAGGATGAGGGGGAGGTTCTGCCCTGCCCTGCCCCTGAGCATGTGGAGGTCCTGAGGAAGGAGGCTCTCCTGTCCCCGGATGCTGTCTGGGAGCTCTAAGCTGAGGGGCCCTGCCCTGATGACCTTGGATGCTGGTGTGGGGCTGGCTGGGCCCCCTGCCCCTCTTAGCGGTGCTGGCTCACTGCCCTGCCCCTCTGCAGACTACACCCCCACCAGGATGAAGGTCAGCAAGTCCTGCGTGCCCAGCTGCTTCGAGACTGTGTATGATGGCTACTCCAAGCATGCGTCCACCACCTCCTGTTGCCAGTATGACCTCTGCAACGGCGCCGGCCTTGCCATCCCAGCCACCCTCGCCCTGGCCCCCGTCCTCCTGGCCACCCTCTGGGGTCTGCTCTAAAGCCCCTGAGGCAGACCCACTCAAGAACAAAGCTCTCGAGACACACTGCTGCACCCTGGCACCCAGCTCACCCTGCCTCACTCTCCACCCTCCCTGCGACCTCCTCAGCCATGCCCAGGGCTGGGACTGTGGGCAAGAAGACACCAGATCCCCCCCAACCACCACGCGACCTCACTTCGAGGCCTTGACCTTCCGATGCTGTGTGGGATCCCAAAGGGCTGGGGGCACTGGCACGGTGCTGTTATGGGGAGGGGCCCAGTCAGGAAGGGAGCGCTGATCAGATGGGAGCTGTGGCCAAGTCCACCTTCTGGGAAGCCCTAGGAGAGGCCCCTGCCTCAGCCTGCCCTGGGTGTGCTGGGGCACGGGGAAACGAGGACCTCCCCCAGGTGGGGTGGTTGGGGGGACTCTCAGGAGGAAAGGCTCTTTCAGGTCTAGGAAGGCTGTCACACTTCCTACTGAGGCCAGGAGCTGCCAGGGCTGGTGCGGGATCAGGGCTGTGGGAGGAAGGCCTTCGGCACTGGCCCCTGTGCTAGGAAGGCTGCCAGGCCTGCATTGGAGCCACCCCCTGCAAGGGAGGGGTGGCCATGCCTCAGCAGGCCCCAGTGCCCCCGAAGCTGTAGAAGCTTTTCCGTGTTCAGCAAAGGGTCTGTGTCCTCTCAGTCAAACCCCTTGACATTTCCCACCCCCTCATGGGGAGGGCGCTGGGCCTGAGGCTGGCAGGACCTAGGGCCTTGCTATATTTGGTGGGTCCTGGTTGCTGACCTGGCCAGCGCTATTCCGGGCAGGGAGGGAAAGGGGCAGGGCAGGTGGCCCGCTGAGGCCTGGTCCCCAACCACAGCGGGACCTGGCCGAGCAAGACAAAGGACACGGGATTGGGGGATGAGCCCACAGGCTGGAAGTTGGGAGCAGCCTGGGGCAGTGCGGGGGCAGGGGTGGGGAGGGCGGGGGTTGGAGGATGAGACCCAGCCCCTCCCCACCAGCAGGATGCACACAGTGAGTGGGTGCCTCCATCACCCTCCACCTGGGACTGCGCCCATGGGGAGGACAGGGTGGAAGCTCCAGGTGGGTATGGGGACTCCCAGGGACCCCACCTCAGGCCTGTGAAGCAGGGTTCAGCCCAACACCCACCAATTCGTCCCCGAGGCAGGTAGCCCTGGGAGCATCTGCCCCCGCTGCAAATGGAGCCATTGGGGGCATGAGACCTTTTGGTGCCAGCGGTCACGCTGCACCTGAGGCCCCCACCTGACCAGTGCTCCCAGCTCTGGTGTCCTTGGAGGAGCCCTTCAAGCCATCCCGAATGGGCAGGATGGTGACACGTCCATGCGGTGGGACTGCCCCAGCCCCAAAGTGTGGTCCTGGTCAGGGGAGCCCCTGCTGGGAACTGCATCTCCAGAGCTTTCATGCAGGACCCCTGGGGGCTTGGGGAGTGAGAGGCTCCACCCCAGGGTCTCCTTGCAGTGAGTCTATGTGCAGGCCTGCCTTCTGCTCCTGGGGCTGGGGCTGATGGTCCAGCCTCAGTCTCCTGAGGACAAGAGGGGTCAGAATCTTGCTTAGGGCACACCCAGCTCCTGTTGGAGGAGGGAAGTGCCGGTCTCCTGCGAAGGGGCCTTGGGTGGGAATGGGCCCGGAGTGGGAGGAACGTGACTCCCCAGAGGGAAGACAGGCATCACACTGGGCCAACAGCTGGGAAGGGGTTGCTGCAGCACAGAGTGGGCCTGGACTCCCCTCGCCCCTACCCCCACTGGTTGTGGCTGTAGCACTGACCCTGGAGAGCGGGCCCCGCCCGGGGTGGCTGGGAGGCTGCCAGGTGCCTCCCAGAGCTCCCAAGGGCCCCCACCTGCAAGTGCCAGCCTCAGGGCAGTGCCCAGATGAGGCCCTCTCAGCTGCAGCCAGCGAGGCCTTGGGATGCTCCCTGGGAGGGAGGCGGCTTTGGGCTCCTAAGTCTGTGGGAGAGGCTGGGAGCAGTCACTGCGCGCCTTGCGCAAGCCCATTGTCGGTCGGGTGGTTTCCTCAGCTGGGCTGGGAGGGGCTCCAGGATCAGGTCCTCCCTGTCTTGCTTCTCAGTGGGGTGATGGGGAGGAGACCTGGCCACCCGGTGCTCAGGGGCAGCTGAGAACAAGGACCTGCTGGAGCTGGAAGTGCCGTGGTGTTGAGGGGTGGGGTGGGCAGCTTCTCACGCCTGCCTCCTGCCTCCACCTGTCTACCATTCCCCCACCCTGACTTGTCCCAGCCCAATGCTGACAGCACTGCCCCCAGCCCCACACGTGGTTCTGCCTGGCTGGCCTGCCCTTGGTACCTGGCATAGAATACACAGAAGGCACTCGGCTAATGCTGGCCAGGCCCGCTCATGGGGAGTGCACGGCTGTGCAGCACCAGGGAACCGGGACAGCAGCGCCGGCAGAAATCACAGCGGTAAACTTGTCCCGGTTGTAAGCATCAAGATGGCAACGGACATGGGTCCCCCCACTGCACTGTGGCCCTGAGCACTGTATAGCAGCTCTGCAATGGGAGCCATTATCTTGTCCCTTTGACAGAGGAGGAAACTGAGGCACAGGGAGGTGAAGTAGCTGCCCCCAGTAGTGCCTCCTCGCTTATTCACCACCCCCTGTACCACAGTGCAGCTGCTTCTCCCACCAGCTGGGGTTCCTTGGACCCCCAAGCCTGGGAAGGGGGAGGTGAGTTTACGAAGTGGAGAACTTAAAAGGAGAAAAGCGGAACCAGAGGTTTGAGAAGCCCTGAGTGGTAGAGTAAGGCCTCCAGCGCTGCCTCTGGGTGCAGGGCAGAGTGGTAAAGTGAAGGGAGAGAGGCACGGGGCACCACGGGGGCCCAATTCCTACTTCGGGGATCTCTCTGACAGAGCCGAGGGTCCCCTTCGTGGGGGTAGATGCCCAGGGCTAGCCGTTCCCACTGTTTGTGTGGACCTGAGTCCTGGACATTCCCGAGTGACTCAGGAGTGGCTGCTTGGGCGGGCTCTGGCACCCTAGGATGTTATACATTCTGGGAACTGGACAGGAGCGGCTGCTTGGGCGGGCTCAGGCACCCCAGGATGTTATACATTCTGGGAACTGGACAGGAGCGGCTGCTTGGGCGGGCTCTGGCATCCTAGGAGCATTCTGGGAACTGGAATACATTCTGGGAACTGGAATCAGCCACCAAAGAAATTGTAGCTGTAGGCGGTGACCCTGGGGTGGGACCTGGGGACATGGCAGGGTCAGCATGGGGACACCTGGCTCCAACAGGGGCTCTGGTCTGTCCTGAGGTCTTTGGGGCCAGGGCTGCGGCCCTAGGCAGGCTTCCTCCAGGCGGAGGTCCTGGGGAAGTTGGGGAGCCAGGCCGGCTGCCGCCTCCCCCACTGTGTAGCCTCTAATTTGTCATCTCCCATGAAGGCGATTTGGTTCATAATTCTGAAACTCTGAAAAAGGTCGAAAGAAGCAGAGAGGCCCTCTGTGGATATGCCGAGCTTTTCTGCCGGTGCTTTGTCCCACTACTCTGGGTGGCCTGTGCTCCTCTTCGAGCCTCAGTTCACGGGGAGGGCCTGAATCTGCCAGCTCCTCTCAGGATCTCCTTCTCTCTGGGTCCTCCCCAGCCTGAAGGAGCCTCCCAGACAGAAGGGTGGACAGAGCCACCTGGGCAGCCCAAGAGACACGCGGGAGTCCTCCTGTGGACAGCCCTGCCAGCTTCCGCCCAGCCCCAAGCTTCATTTGCATCTTGAGGAGTAAGGGGTGGTGAAATGGGAATGCTGGTCTGACTCAGCTAGTCGTGGGCATAAGTGCCGGCTGGATGGATGGCATCTCTTCCTCCTGTCTTATGTCCTGGGGTCCAGGTGCTTCCCAGGGCCATGCCCCTGCTGCTATTGCTTGCCCTAACCCTCACCCTAACCAGGACATGGACTTCCACCCGCAGGCCACTCTCTCCCTGGCCCACCAGGTACCCAGCACCCAGGAGAGCTCCAGTGTTGTCTCACCGAGCCATGAATAAATCAACAGATTCACGTTGTCTGTGCTTCTTTCCAGCCCCACTGCCTTGGGCTAAGCTCAGGCCTCGCCTTTCCAGCCTGGCTGGGCTGGCACTCCAGGCTCCATGCAGCCACACTCCTGTCTACCCTACCTGGTCCAGGCCCTGGGCTTTTCTTACCTCCAGGCCTGACCTGTCCTTGGAGCCAGGCACAGGGAGGGAGACAGGCAGGGCTCCTGGGGCTTGCTGAGAATTGCCCCCAGTTCTGTGGGAGAGAGGCCAGCACCCCCGAGGGGCAGACAAGCCCCTGGGGAAGGCTGGGGGTGCAGAGTAAACCCCCCAGGACCCCATCCCACCATCTCTGATTTCTCAGGCTACCTGGTTCCTGACCCCAGCTTCTCGACTGCCCCAGGAAGGAGGACCTGCATCTGCCAGCCCCTCTCTCAGGATCTCCCTCCTCCTGGGCCCACCTCCCAGCCATAAGGAGCCTCCTAGACAGAGGGGTGGACAGAAGTCATGTGGGCAGCCCAAGAGACACACAGGGGTCCCCGGGTTGGCAAGGCTAACTGGTTACGGACAGGTCCTTTGGGGCCCCAGCCCCTCACCAGCCTTTGGAGGAACAGCCGATGGCTCCCGCTTTCCAGGGTGTCCCTTCTGGGCTCTTACCTTATCCTTGGGGCCCCTTTTAGTACCAAGGGCCTTTCTGTCCCCCGACTCCTGTGCACAGATCCTGGAGCATCAGTCACAGCGTGACAATGGCCGTGGTTCCTTGTTTGGATGACAGATGACGGAGAGGCGGCTCACAGCCACGCTCCCTCCACGCTCTCCCAGCCCTGGGGGGTCAGGATGGGAAAGTTCTGACTTCTTTGGAGGAGGTCTTGTCATCGAACTCACTCTAGGGTGGGAGTACGGGTGAAGACCTCTGGCTCACACCCAGCCCTGAGCTTCATGTGCATTTTGAGGTGTAAAGGGTGGGCTGGGTGCTGGTGCCTGAGGCCCTCCCTCCTTCCCACCAGACCTTCCTTCCCAGCCGCTGAGGGAGACCGGCCTGTGGCCGTCGCCTGCCTGGTGCCAGGCCATTTTATGGGATCCTCAGTCCCGTCAACCAGGGCTGTCCTGCTTTACCGACAAGAAGAGATGGCTCATGAGATTACACAGGCCCGCCTGGAGGCCTAACCAGCAAGCTTTGGGGCCAGGTTGGCCCCTATCGCCTGGACCCCAGCCCGGCTCCTTGGCTGAGCCCAGCTGCCCAGTGACTCAGACCCACAGAGTCTGCTGAGCGGGCGAGGGCCAGGGCGGGGTGCCAGCAGGTATAAGGCAGCCGGCCAGGGCGCTGAAAGCCCGACCTCACCAGGAGAACATGCAGTTCCACACTGGGCTCCTGCTGGCCGCCGTTCTGAGCCTACAGCTGGGTGAGTCCAGGGGCTGGGGCCACCTCCTGCTCAGGGCCCCCATCGCTCTAGCCCAACCACTGTCCCTCCAGCCCTGGGCCGTGACTGCCCACCTCAGGAGAACCCATTCCTGTCCCCCACCATCTGCCAGGTGCAGCTTTTCCTCCGAAAGCCTCCTGCGATCCTGCAGGCCCATCCAGCTCAGCCCCAGCCCACACACTGACCCCCACACTGACCCCCCAACTTCTCAGGGCGCACAGCCCTTGGCTCAAACCCCCTCTTCCTCTCCCCAACCCCCAGACCTCTCCAGTCCATAGTGACGCTCCTCACACACACACCTTTGTGTGCGCGCATACACATACTCTGAATTTGTGCCCCCTAGCCCTCTTGGGCCTGGCCTCCCAACTGGCTTCTCTCCTGAGGCCCCCCTCCCTGGACTCCCTCCTCCTTCTTGCCTGGGAAAACCAAGTCCCTCTGCTCTCCCATCCCCAGTCCCTGCTCCCGGGTCCTCTCCTCTGCTCCCTGCTTCCCTGGGTGATTTTACCCACTGCCCATCCCCCAGTCCTCACCCCCCTCAGTGCCCACGTCTGCTACAGCTGGCCCTGTCCCCCCAGCTTCAGGCCCCTTGGCCCAGGGCCTTCCTGAGGGCTCCAAGGGTATGACTCCTCTAGCACAGCCATGCACACCTGGCCTTGGCATCCCCCAGCAGAGCCCGAGCATCTTCTCTTGGCAGGGCATCTCCACTCCCATCCCGAGACCTGAACAAAACCAACTGGCCCCTTGATCTGCCAGCTGCCCCCACCTCCAAGCCCAAGCAGCCCAGTCCCCCAGGGGCCAAGCCTCTGTGTCCCTGGTGGTGGGTTGGATGACCTGGGTATCCCCTGCCTCCCAGGCCCTGAATGAGCAAGTGGTGGAGCATCGGTGAGTCCCTGGTGCTGGCTCAGGTGTCTCTTACACCCCTCCAGCCTCCACCCCCAGGGGCACCCTCCTGGCCTATAAGCGGCTGAGCCGCTGACCCTGAGGACTGCCCCAGGGTCATGAGGGCAGACCAGCTCTGTGATGAAGGTCTGAGACACGCAGGGGCTTGGGAGGGTGGGCATGTGTAGGGGGCAGGCAGGAGCTGGTTCCATGCCACCCTTGGGCACCCATATCCTCACCTCTTCCTTCTGGTGCCCCAGCCTCCTGCCCATCTTCCCTGCTACCCCCCACCCCAGGCAGCTGTGACAGCCAAGGGGAGCTTCAAGCCACTTTGGTGGGAAGGGGCAGAGAGGGGCTTGGAGGCAGCTACCACCACCTTTCTTTTTTGAAGGTGGGGTCTCAGCTTGCTCTCCGGGGCTGGTAGAGGGGCCAAAGCTGATGGTAGGGGCCTGCCCTGGCCGGAACTTCCCATCTGTGTCACCTTCTCTGTGGTGTCTCGATGGAGGATTCCACCCACAGAGCCTAGGGGTGACCAGAGGACTCTGGCCAGTGTCAGGGGCCTGGTGTGCACTGAGGTCTGAGGTCAGCTCCGTGCTGGTGCGTGCAGAGCCATGCTGTCAGGAACCCAGGCTTGGAGCTGGCGCTGACCGGGGCTGACTCCAGCCCTTCTCCACCTTTGGCAACGGTGAGGCAGGGGCAGCCCAGCAGACACGGGCTAAGGCAGGCATGGCTTCCAGTGTCCTGAGGTTGGGCTGCCTGGGGCACAGCTCAAGAGGAAGCCAGGGCCTGTGCCTGGTGCCTGTGACAGAGCAGCCCTCACATCCTTATGGTCACACCATTGGCCCTGTCACCCTGCAGGCTCCTATGCAGAGAGAGCAGACCCGGGGCCAGCAGGTGTTAGGGACTCTGTTTACACAGTCTTGGGTGTGTGAACCTAGGGTGAGGACAGGGAGGGAGGGAGTTTGAGGCTGAGAAATGGACGGAAGTGGTCAGGGAGGAGAGGACAGAGTCAGGGATGAAGAGGGGCAGAGAGCAGGCAGGGAAGCCGTTGGGGAGTGCCCAGGAGGGCTAGTGGGCCTTGGGAGTGGAGCAGTGCCCAAAGCAGAGAGCAGGACTGCTGGGCAGAGCCACAGCAGTGCTGGCGGAAGAACACAGTGTCTCCTGAGCGCAGGCCATCCTCCTGGATAAAGCAAGGCAGAGCTCACCGCTCCCTGCTGCTGCTTGGGCGCTGCCACTGTAGCGGGATATTTTAAGGAATTAGAGAGACTGAGGGGTTGAGGAGGATATTTATTATTTAGGTGCAATGGCCCAATCGGATTAATAGCCAAAGGACTGAGCCCTGAACAAAGAGTTAAGTTACCTTTTAAGCATTTCGTGGGGTGGGGAGAGATCTCTGCAGGGTGAAGCATGTTACAGAAGCGAGAAACAAAGACAGTTATTCAATTAATTGAGACATGCATTACATCATTTCTTACTTTTCAAGGAAAAACATGTTTTACGACTTGAGTTTATCTGTCTGTGACCTTGCAACTGCACAGCTAGAGAAACAGGGTCTTCCCAATGCCTGGGAAAGGGAGAGATAAGGCTCACCAGCCACAGACAAACAGGCAGTTAAGTTTTAAAGGACTCCAGTTCTTTCTTTTCCTCAGGGAATTGGGTTTTCTTACATACAACTGAGTTTCTGTTTACACGTTCTTTTTTTTTTTTTTTTTTTGAGATGGAATCTTTCTCTGTCACCCAGGCTAGAGTGCAGTGGTGCGATCTCGGCTCACTGCAACCTCTGCCTCCCAGGTTCAAGCAATTCTCCTGCCTCAGTCTCCTGAGTAGCTGGGATTATAGGCACCTGCCACCACGCCCAGCTAATTTTTTTGTATTTTTAGTAGAGATGGGGTTTCACCATATTGGTCAGGCTGGTCTTGAACTTCTGACCTCAAGTGATCCACCCACCTTGGCCTCCCAAAGTGTTGGGATTACAGGCGTAAGCCACCACGCCTGGACTACACATTCTTTAATTTCTTTTAATTCCTGTTCTACCACGTCCTGGTTGCCCTTGCCCTGGGCTCCCTGTGGAGGCAGGAACAGCCCCATCATCTCAGCCACCAGAATCCGGTCCCAGGGGTCTAAAGGGTACCACTCAGTACCCAGAGGCAAAAGGGGGCATGGCCAGAAAGAGTGTCTCAGGGCCCCTCTACCTCCCCCACACCCCCCACCCAGGGACCCCAAACAGCCAGGCTGCTGTACCCTCACTCCCCTGGGACATCACACCACAGCCAGGGCTGCCCGGCCCCACCCTTGCCCAAGGCTCCTTCCTGGGAAAGGATGCAACCAGCTGGCTCCACCTGCAGGGCTGCCAGGCACCCCAAGATGAGGGACAGGGGCCCAGTTCCTAGGAGGACTGGATCACAGGGTTGGGAGACTGGCCACTGAGAAGGGGCATGGGCTGCTGGGTGGAGTTGAGTGGGCACCGTCACTGCAGAAGGTGGCCCACACCTGCCTCTCATCCATTTGTGTCCTGTCTGTCCCCATGCCGGCAGCTGCAGCCCAAGCCTTGTGGTGTCACCAGTGCACGGGCTTCGGAGGGTGCTCCCGTGGATCCAGATGCCCGTGGGACTCCACCCACTGTGTCACTACTGCCACCCGTGAGTGAGGGGGCCAGCGGTGGGCTGGCCATGCCCTTCTTGCCCAGGTGGGAAGATGTGGGCTCAGAGGGGGACAGAGCCTGATCCAGGCACCCAGTAAGTCAGAAGCATAGGGGAGAGTGTCCACCAGCGATGCCAGGGAAGGGTATGAGCAAAGGGCCACGTCTGCCCCCAGGAGTGCCTGCATGCTTCATGTACCTGGGGCGTCTGACCCTCAGCTCAGTGGCAGATGGGGCAGCACGGTCTGGGCAAACAGGCTCAGGGAGCTCCATGGTTTCTCTCCTGCCCACTCAGGGGTCCTCAGCAACGTCGAGAACTTGCCTCTGGTCACCAAGATGTGCCACACGGGCTGCCCCGATATCCCCAGCCTGGGCCTGGGCCCCTACGTATCCATTGCTTGCTGCCAGACCAGCCTCTGCAACCACGACTGACGACTGCCCTCCCCCAGGCCCCCGGACACTCAGCCCCCACAGCCCTCACGGCCTGGCGCCAGGGCCCACGGCCGCCCCTGCCTCGAGCCTGGCCAGCCCACATCTCCTGGCCTCTGCAGCCACCATCCAGCCTCACTTGTCCTCGGGAAGTCCTGTGTGGAGTCTTGTCTAAATCTGCTGCTGTCCAAGCCTGAGGCCCGTCGTCCCTGCCACCCCTTCAGTTCCCAACCTCCCCCAAATAAAATATGATTGGATCATGTAGCACAAGCTATCCGGTGGGAGTGGAGCCCCGCCATCCTGGGCTTGGGGGTAGAGGGGAGTAGATTTGGGAGTGCCTCGCTACCTCACCCCAGGCTAAACCCTACTACCCCACCCGCACCTGCCCTTATCACGGAACAGGCCCTCCCACCTCCAGCCAACTGTCAGGCCTGAAGGGCACAGGGGCCCAGGCCCCCCGGGCAGTTGCTGTTCCTGAAGTAGCCAGAGTGGGAGTTGGGGCTGGGGCACACGAGGAGACCCCCGCCCCACAGCGGGAGTCAGGAAGCCTCAGAGAAAGGACATCCCGGCTGAGACATGGAGGCTGTGCGGGGTGGAGGAAGGGAGGAGGGGCCCTTGGCAAAGACGGCTGCCGCAGGCCTTCTGGAACAGGGAGAGGGGTGAGGCAGGCTGTAGCTTCCTCACCCTCGCCCTCATACACACCCCTGGGCCAGTGGCCCGGCCTGCCCCTCTCTAGGAAACCCCCAGTTCTGGCAGGGAACACTACCTCCAGCTCCTCTGGGCCACTGGGTACCCAGCACGCAGGGCAGGGCCTGGGGAGAGATGCTGGGAGTGGGATGAACCAGACTGAGGTGATGGGCAGCTGTGGCCGCCCATCTCGGGGTGGACGTGGGAAGCTAGATGAGCGATGTTTGTGGAAGTTGATCACTCGCTAGGCAAACATGGCGTCATGGCTGAGCTTCGGGCTGCAAGGTTGAATGAGACTCCCACATAAGTCTGGCACTCCCCTCGGAGAGGCTGAGGCGAGTCCACATCTGCAGGTCCTCCCCACTGAGTTAGCACCTGCCGAGAAACACAGCGCCAGGCCCTTTCCTGGCCTTTCTTGTTCTCACCTTGGCAAAGTTCTCGTGAAGAATCAGCTCAGGAGAAAGCTGATGCAATTGTCAAGCTGCTCCACAAGGAGGGGGTGTCCCAGGCCGGGCTGCTGGACATTCAGGTGCCACGACAACTTTCAGAGTAGCCCCAGGCATAGAAGGAGATGCAAATGGGGTGTGCTGGAGATACCCAGATAAGCTCAAGAATTGAGGTGACAATGGAGTGTTTCTCAGATCTGCGGGGGAGGGACAGGGCGCCCCACAGCCACCGTGGAGCACTGCAGCGTGGAGCACTGCTGCGAGAACAGGGTAAGGCTGAATCCTCACCTCTCTTGTTAAAGCCAAAGGCATTCCAACTGAATCAGAGGTTTCGATATAAAAAGAGGAGGTTTTTCAATGCTAGACAATTCAGAATAGAAAAGCAAGACACATTCCTGAAGGGACTGGACACAGAGTTGCTGTAAACACAGCAATTCCACTCCTGGGCCAAATTCCACCCCCAGACATGGCCCAAGAGGAGTAAACAGGCGTCCACACAAAAGCCTGTGCACAAACATTCGCAACGGCGTTATTCACAGCAGGCAAAAGGCAGGAAAAACCCAAATGCCCATCAACTGATGGACGGATCAACAGAGATGACAGGCCCATACCAGGGGATGTTATTCAGCCACATGAAGGAATGAAGCCCTAACCCATGTCAAAACACGGGGAGCCTTGAAAATACGGGGGAGCCTTGAAAACAAACACGACGCTGAGTGAGACAGCAGCCGCGCACAACAGGCCAAGCAGTGTACGATTCTATTTCTCAGAAGTAGCCAGAATAGGGAGCTCTATAGAGAGGGAAAGGAGATGAGTGGTTACCAGAGGGTGGCAGGGATTATTAAGAAATAGGGAAAGGCCGGGCATGGTGGCTCACGCCTGTAATCCCAGCACTTTGGGAGGCCAAGGAGGGTGGATCACCTGAGGTCAGTTCACAACATGGTGAGACCCCGTTTCTACTAAAAATACAAAAATTAGCCAGGTGTGGTGGCACATCCCTGTAATCCCAGCTACTTGGGAGGCTGAGGCACGAGAATCACTTGAACCAGGGAGGCGGAGGTTGCAGTGAGCTAAGATCATGCCACTGCACTCCAGCCTGGGCAACAGAGCGAGACTCCATCTTAAAAAACAAACAAACAAAGAAAAAGAAATAGGGAAAAGCCAGAGTACTTTTCCTGCTCTCACACAGTACAGTACTTCACCCCGTCACCAAAGTGTGTGTGTATTTCTCTCCACCAGCAACCAAGCCACACTGCAGTGGACACCGTCTGGGTGTCCTCAATTCAATTCCAACGCCATTCCCATGGAGGTCACGTCAGATCCCGCAGGTGGAGGGCTCAGTCCCACGTGATGAGCTCCACTTCTGATGCCAGTCACAAGCCCCAGGTGTGGCCTGAGCTTCTGACCGACCTACCATGAATCAGGGTTCCCACGACCCCCTCCTCGGGTTTGATGACTTGCTGGAGCAGCTCACAGGACTCAGGGACGCACTGACCAGCGTTTACCCATTGATGACACAGGCTGTAACGAAGGTGCAGATGCACAGCAGGTGGAAGAGACCTTCCACGGGGCAGGCACGGGGAGGGGCGCGGAGCTCTCAGGCCCTCCCAGCAGCACCCCCAGGCACCTGCGCATGCTCTGCTATCGGAAGCTCCCTGAACCCTGTCCTTTTGGGGAATTACGGAGGCTTCATTACGCAGGCATGATGGATTAAACTACTGGCCACTGATGAACCCAACCTGCCGCCCCCTCCTCTCCCCTGAAGGCTGGGGGTGGGGCTGAAGTCCCAGCTCTCTAATCCTGTGGGTCCCCATCCTGAAGCTCCCTGGGGACCCCCAGTCACCAGTCCTCTCATTAGCATACAAAAGATGCCCTTGCCACTCCAGGGATTCCAAGGGTTTTAAGAGTTGTATGTCAGGAAACCAAAATATCCATCTCACAGTCTCACAAAATAAGCATCTCACGTTCTCGCAGGAATGAAGCAACGAGAGTGCTAAAGCGTTCAGGGTTTATTTTCAAGATGATGAAAATGTGCTAAAACTGTGAATACACTAAAAACCACTGAATTACACACTTTAAATGGGTGGATTGTGTAGTATGTGAAGTATATTCAATAAAGTTGTTAAAAAATTTTTTTAAAGACACAAAACCAGAATTGGGATTCATAAATACTATCTAAAAATCTAAATTAAAATAAAATAAAACAAAATAAACAAACTGAAAGACAAGAAAAACAAGGAAATATTTGCCATGCATGTAACATACGATGATTCCCTCCACACATAATGTCCACGAAAAGAGTCAAACTATAAAATATGTGAAGACATTTATTCTGAGCCAAATATGAAGGGCCATAGCCCATGACACAGCCCTCAGGAGACTTGAGAACATGTGCTCAAGGTGGCTGGGGCGCAGTCTAGTTTTAGGGAGACTGAAGATCTCAATAAAATACATGGAAGAGGTACATTGGCTCCATCCGGAAAGGCGGGACAACCCTGGGGGATGAGGCTGGGGCGGGGTGTGGGGGGGGGCGCGGGAGGCGGGATTCCAGGATTTAGGCAGATTTAAAATTTTCTGATTGGCAATTGGTTGAAAGAGTTAAGATTATCTAAAGACCTGGAATCAATAGAAAGGAATGTGTGGATTACAAGGGGTGTGGAGACCAGGGTTTTGTCATCAGAGGAAGCCTCCAGGTAGCAGGCTTCCGAGCCGATAGATGGTGAATGTTTCTCATCAGACTGAAGGTCTGTGTGGATGTTAGCGCTGGTCAGGTTTCCCTGAATTCCAAGAGGGAGGAGGGATGATGAGGCTGTCCAGCCCTTTCCCACCATGATCCGAACCAGTTTTTCAGGTTCACTTCGGAATACCCTAGCTGAGAAGAGGGTCCATTCAGATGGTTGAGGGCAGGGGCTTAGAATTTTATTTTTGGTTTACAGTAAATAATCCTTCCAGATCCCCAAAGAGCAACAGATATAAGCAGCCTGTTCAGAGAAAAAGCCATTCAAGTGGCCAAGCCAAGGAGAAGAAATTCAACCGTACTTGGAATCAGAGAGGTACCAAGCAGTATTGTAAACCCCCGGGCAGGAGAGCGACCCGGCCATGTGGTGAGAAAGGACATGGACCAGCCTCTGTGCTGTCACAAATGCAGCCCTTGCAGGACAAATCAGCCCTGTCCAGGAAACTTCAAAATGCCACTAGCATTTTGTTTAATGCTGGCTCCCTAAAATGTCACCAAAAACCCAAGGACAGGTCACCCCAGCTCCCTCCAGCACTCCTGGGTTTTGAGTCTGATTTGAGGTAGGTCTTCCAAGGTGGGGGTTCGGTTCAGTTAGGGTTGGGCCAGGACTCGGAAAAAGTAGTTTAGAATTTTGAGGCCATGGGTTCTGAGTCTGGAGGTGTCCCCCAACGGTTTCTATCGAAGAGTCAATAGGCCTTTTGGGAAGATCCTCAATAAATGATAGCTATTTGCTGCTTTATCTTCCTAGAATCGTGAAGCTCAGGAATGAAGACGCAGGGTGGAAAGTCTTGGTCTAGGCCGGGCGTGGTGTCTCACTCCTGTAATCCCAGCACTTTGGGAGGCCAAGGTGGGCAGATCACTTGAGGTCAGGAGTTCAAGACCAGCCTGGCCAACATGGTGAAACTCCATCTCTACTAAAAACACGAAAATTAGCCAGGCGTGCTGGCATGCGCCTATAATCCCAGCTGCTCAGGAGGCTGAGGCAGGAGAATCACTTGAACCCAGGATGGGGAGCAATGAGCCGAGATAGCACCATTGTACTCCAGCCTGAGTGACAGAAGGAGACTCTGTCAAAAAAAAGGGAAGGGGAGGGGAGGAGAAGGGAGGGGATCATGGTCCCATGAACAGTGAGCCCTGTGGGTGGAGTTGGCTCCGGTTCTCAGTGTGAACAACCCCCACTGCACCCCGCTGCTCCTAACAGGGTAGGGGGCAAAGAACGTGCACAGGCACATGTTCCCTTCAGTTTTCCCATCATGAAGCTGCAGGTGAGCTAACTTGCGTGCATGTAGAGGGTGGCACTGGAGGGCACATCCCTTCTGGAAGGACACAGGATACCTCTTTCCAACGTACAACCCTTGGTGCTATTTGTGCCTCCACTTCCTTTTCAACATAGTAACATT